TTTATTTTTTTTATAGTACAGAAACGCTGCCAACATTCTGTAATTATCAAAGCACAAATAATACCATGGATAAAGAAACTTTAACATTTTGTCATTCTTTGTACAACAGTAAAGTGATTTTCTTGCAAATTATTATTTTAATATTAAGGAGAACTTTTTATTTTGGTAGTTTAACAGAAGAAGAACTTAGGCTAGCTTAGTCAAAGAAACCGTTATATTTATTTATTGACAGTTATTATAATAAAACCAAATTATATTTGAACATATCTTTAAACGGCAATGTCAGAGTCAGGCAATCTCTATTGTGTAGCAAAAAATTAAACTTCTTAGACAAAGTTATTTTTAGATCCATGCTTAAACCCCTTCATATGGAAAATGTGACAGATCTTGCATACCCTTGTGTTCTCTCACCAAAAAAAAACTTAATTAAAGTACATAATAAAAGCAGAAGCATCCATTCATAAAGAATAATTATGAGACGGGATTAGTGAGATTATCAGAAACAGGTGGAGTCTATCTTGTCTGCTGTCGGCCTAAATGATGTAACACTTTTCCACCATTTCAAGCGACTGTTCCAATCTGCTAGGAGCCTGAGATTTAGAGTGTGAAATCCCAAAAGTCTCGGGCAAAACAGTGGCCTCTTGTAGATCGGAACTGAATAACACAAACTCATTGCTACTGGTCATCAAACAGGCTTTGCAGTAACAACCATTGACTCCTGTTGGTTTTAGCATCTAATAGAAATGAATAATGCAGAGAATTAGGGACCTGATTCTTACCCATTGAGAGGAATGGTCTTATTTGGGACATATGTTCTCAGATACTTCAAAGAAATTAGAATGGAATATCACATCTCAAGGTTTAGATACTGTTTAATACAGCCGAGACACTATAGGTCTTAATATATATTCCACCGGGTGTTGATGTCCTGGTAAGATGGTTTGAACATATCAGCAAGAATACAGTTGTAGCACACTTAAAACAATAAATATGTATACTGAAATTTAAAAATTGAGTAAATGTATTTTTCTATTGATATTTAAATAATTTAAATGTTTTCAAAATATTTTAAATATTTTTTAATTTTATCCATATCGTCTCATTGCCCCAACTCCGTATTGTCAATTTTTACTGTTAATTTTTTACTGGACAAACACATAAAAGTGCTGGTGTGCAGTGTCGTGTAATCACTCACTGTCAATAACTTATATATAGAAGACTTCATCAATAAGCACATGTGTATCAAACCAAAGTGCAATCTCAGTGTTTAAAAACCCTTAAAAAGTGCAGTTGTGATGGTTATATAAAGTGACATGTGCTTATATTTGCGAGACATCAATTCAAGTATATAAGAAGAAAACAGAAAGAGAGAACTCCTAGTGCAGTACAGTACAAAAATTGTATTTGAGAAAAATATTGCTCTTTAAGTAGCTCACTCACAAAATCAGAGTGGTTACAGCACCACTCGCAGCTATAGCGCTCAGGGAGGATCAGCCCCTGGTGTGCGTGGGATCCGTACGATACACAGATGACCAGGATGTCAGGTATGTGCAAATTTTATTCCGATGTCGCAATTAAAAACATATAATCTGTGCAGTCCATTAATAGCTCACCAGCTCTTGGCAACGGATGGTGATAGCTTGTAAAACCGTTCTGCTCGTCGCTGTGCTGGGCTGCTTTCACCGATGAATGTCCACAGTACTTCCTGATTCCTGGCCCATGATATATTTTTCCCCTCCCCTTGGGGTTTTGTCAAACGTGAGATTACTTTGAAGTAATTTAGGTCCCCCACACGCCGCTCACGGGTGGGGGCCGGGGGGTAGGACAATAGGCCCCCCCCTTATTCTACTTTATTGCCTCCACCCGCCGCTCAGGGGTAGAGGCCGGGGGGAGGACAATAGATCTCCCTCCTTATTCTTATTTAGGGCCCCCACCTGCCGCTCAGCTTTTCCATTGTGTCTTGGAGGCCCAACCTGATGGTGGTGGTTCTCTTTTGGTTCAGCAGGATCGGTCCCCATTGATGTGTTATCAATTTATTAAAGTCTTGAAGGAGGCCTTAGTTGCCAGTGGTAGGGATCCAACTGGGTATTCTGCTAATTCATTTCGTATTGGGGCTGCTATGCAGTCCAGTGTCTTGGGTAGATGTGGCTCGGGGCATTTTCAATGCTACTTTTGGCCTAACTTGTTGTAATTTTGTTTCTTTTAGGTCCTCCTCCCCGTTATGTTTGGATATTAGGGCATTCTTACATATACTAGATGGCTCATCAGGCGGAGGAACGCTCTTACGGTCGTAACTTGGGCTTTTTGTATGAAGTGGTTCAGGTTCATCTGGGTTTCTCCTAGAGCCAGGTGTATGAAGAATGGGTGTGTCTACGGCTGTTCCTTTAGTTATTCACGTGGGAGGTAATGATCTGGGGAGAATTCAAATTTGAATCAACCAAAATTGATTTAATTCAGTCCATAAAACATGATGTAGCAGGGGCTGGACTTTTCCTCTGGCTGCTCCTGTCTATCTCAGTCCACCTGAAACAGATGTCAAATAATCCAGGTATAAAACACTGCCTCTCTCTGGGGGCAGTGTCCGTTCATTGACTCTGGTTCCTGTATTTGTGTTCTTGTGTTCAAAGTCTGTGTTTGGTAGACCTGTTTTTGCCTGCAGAAAACTCAGAATTCCTTGAAAACGTGCTAGAATGATTAAATTAGGAGTTTAGTCTATAATGAGTAAATAGCATCATGCATTTAATACAGATTTGTAAACATATATTCATTTTGTGGTCCTCATCATTCCAACTCTGTTGGATTCAGATATAGAAACTGTGTTCCATAAGCTATGACCTGAAAACCTGAAGTTTTATAAACAGATACAATTTTATAAAAAATAACTCAATCTTAAGATTTACTCTAAAGCAGCAAAAGAAGCTCCTCGAAAGTGCTGATGAATGTTTTACCGGATATGAATATATTGACAATTATCAAAAAGGAGTAAAGATCTAGCTGCTATTGAGCAAGCCGGGACAATTGTCACCTGACACACGCAGACACACGCACACACTTAGCAGTTGGAGGCGCATTGATGAGAGAATATTGGGTTGCAATTTAGTGAAATAGAATGATGAATAGTTATCCTCCTTCTCTAAAAGAGTTGCAATTTCAGTCTTTTAATGGCGCATGAACGCCAATATTCCCCTTTCGTTATTTCATCTTATGGGAAGATTAAAAACCAGATTCTTATCGTTAAACTTCTCCGTACTGTAACATGCTGAGGATGGGTGGATAGATAAAAAAATGTACTGTGAAAAATGTCCAGATGATGTATGCTTGTAGACTGAGTTTTTTGCCTTCTTTTGGATCAACAGGAAAAACATATGTAAGGAATGCTGAACTTGATGGGCGCAAGTCTCTTTTCAGCTATGTAACTATGTAACTATGTTGCAGAACATCAACCAGACTGTCAGTTGATAGTCAACTAACAACTAAAAGAAGCCCCAAATTCTAAAACAAATTCAAACATGAATCTTGGATCAGATATACTGTGCTGACGAGGTCTAAGAGGGTCTGAAAATTTTGTTTGGTGTTGTAATAGTGCCCATGAAGAGGAAAACAACTTGGGATTTTGGTTGTCCTATGTAAATATGTTGCCCTTGGATGGGAGCAATCTGCTATACTAATTAAATTGGTGTTCTATGTAGTGGCACAAGTGGACATAAGTTACTTTGTGACTTTCTAAAAAGAATACCCATAGAATAACCTATTTAACTTTTATTCTGTCCCAGTTTCCTGTTAATGCATATACTATTTTTAGGGCTTATAAGACTCAAGTGTAATTTAAATGCGAAATAGTCGCTCAATATGCCTGTAGCGGTATCAGCTGTATCTCGCTAATGAGGCTTATGGTAGGGTGAAATGTACACCTCCTAAAGAAAACATTCAGTCTATTTAAACTTGACATTAATCATCTCTTCTTAGCAAAATGAATATTTCCCTTGTGTAAGATAATACATAAAATATGATAAACTCAAATGAAAGGGGCACCTATTCGAGTATTCACTAGTTTGTAGATCTGTCAAAACAAAGAGTTTATATTTCCTTGCCTTGGCTGTATGAAATAGTTTGAAACACAGTAGAATGGTATAATGTACAGGAATGGCCTCAAGCAATACACAGTGACTTAATGCTAGGATGAGCAAACCCGGTTTAAATCCTATATCTGATCCAGACACATTCTCAAAATCTCCATTAATCATATTTTTTTTCCAATTTTTTATTTTTATTATTTAGTATACACATGTATATGTTGGATCAGTAACTGAAAGAATATTAAAGCAGGTCATATTCGTCACATCATGAGCACCACAATGTAACAGGCCAACTCGAGTTATCATCTCAGAAGTACATTAAAACATTCAGGCATTGATACGATAAAGCATAACGTAAGCTATCATTAAGGTTAGCGTGCTTTGTTGAGTAGAAAACATACGGAAGTATGAAATTGTTCTACTATCGTTTCCTTGCTTTCAAGGGTGTCAAGTGTTTGATTTGTGTCTTCGGGATGCCTGCTCTTTGGCACCCCCTTGGCAAGTCTCTGTTTAGGTCTTCACTCTGTGGCTTCAGGTCTTTTTAGAGCATCTCTGGGTCTTGGTCCGACGTGAGAGAGAGAGACTTACCCATTTGTGTGACAAGTAAGGCTCCGTCTGTACCCCATCAGTACCGGATTGATCGGTCTCTCAGCCGTCTGGCCACCGGAGCTAGCTTGCATTTCTCTGCGAGTACTGCGAAAGGTACATCTCCATACAGTGACACCTCGCTATTCTCAAAAGTTATATTTCCCATGGCTCTGAAGCGGGCCATGACTGCGGAACGTAGCACTATGTCCCTGGTCACCACAATTATTTCCCTTGGAGCACTAGCTGGGGCTGTAGCTGCTTTACGGATTCTGGATACTGTCAGCAGCCCAGGCGGATCTCCGGCCATTTTGAGTCCCATATGGGTGAGCAGTTTCTGTATAGTGTAACAATGCGTCTCCACTGACCTCTTCTGGGATGCCTCTTATCCTGATATTCCGGCGTCTGTGCCGAGTCTCCATTGAAGCCATCGCTCTGTGCATGCTCTGGACCTGCTGTGTAAGGGTCTCAAGGTGGGTCTCTGTGGCTTGGATTCAGTCATCTCTTGCTTTTTCTCTCTCCTCCACCTCTTTGACCTTCTGGGACATGATGCCCAGCTCTCTTTGAGCCTCGTGAAGGTCTGCTTTGCACACCTTGCGGAGATCCAGCAGCAGCCTTTTAATATATCTCTTCATAGACGGTGTGGAGTCTTCATCGGATTCTGAGTCCTGTTCTGCTGCACTCTGGTTCTGTGAAACTGGAGATTCTGCCTCCCCTTGTGATTCCTCTGAGTCTTCCGTCGCTGGTTGCGCGGTGGCCACCATCTTAGGCGTGTCTCTCTGAGCAGGCCTCTCGAAGGAGAGCCTGATGTCGGGGAACTTAGGTCTCCCAGGTGCGTGGAACTTCTTGTTTTTACGGCCCATGCTGTCAGCTGGTGGGAGCAGCAGGTTTGGTGTTCGCTTATACGGTAATGCCCGGGTTAATCCTCTTTTGTCCGTACTCGGTACAGAGCTATGCCAGAGCGCGTCCACTCAGTCTGCTAGTCGGCCATGCCCCCCTCCCATTAATCATATTTTAATCATAATACATCCCAGTTTACAATAAGTATATTATTTTAATTTTTAACAAACCAATTTATTTTACTATAGAAAGGAGAGTTGCACTGCTTCCCTGCATTCCCTTTTCTATAACTACCTATGGCCAGAAGGAAGAGACTCTCGTTTGGGAAGCCTGAGCTGCCACCAGGTCCGGCCTCAGGCCTTTAGACGCCCTGTGCGAAAAAGCTTCACAGCACCACTCCTCGTCATCCATGTATGATGTAATGTTTGTGTTGTTTGTGTATGTGATAGGTGTGATGACTGTGTGTGATATGTATGCTATGTGTTGGCTGTGTGTGATATTTGTGTATTGGTAATGGGTGTATTAACAGTGTGTGATATGTGTGTATTGGTTGTATGTGATATTTGTGCTGGGTGTATTGGCTGTGTGTGATGGTTATTTAATTCAGATAAAAACATGCATTTAGGCCTGTGTGTGAATGCAGGTGTATATTTTTGCAGAGTTATGTGCACACAGTCCCACAGTCAGATGCACACAGTTATACATATACACTGTCAAATCCACCACATGCACATAGTCGCAGGCAGATAGTCACATACACAGCATCAGGCAGAAACACACAGGTACAAGCAGTAACACACATACACAGTTACAGGTAGATAAACACACTCACACACAATTACAGGCAGACAGCCACACACACAGAACCACACATACAGTTTTACACACACACACACACACAGCCACACATACAGTCTTACACACACATACTTACATGCAGACAGTCACACACACGCAGACAGTCACACACACAGGCAGGCAGACACACACAGGCAGACAGACACACACACAGGCAGCCACACACACAGGCAGCCACACACACAGGCAGACAGCCACACACGCACACACACACACACACACACACACACACACACAGACAGCCACACACATACACACAGGAGGACAGCCACACACACACACACACATTGGCAGATGGCCATACACACACAGAAAGACATCCACACACACAGAGGCAGACAGTCATTCACACTGACACACACACACAGTCACACAGTCACACACACAGGCAGACAGTCATATACACAGAAAAAACACACACACACACAGGCAGACAGTCATACACACAGACACACACACACAGGCAGACAGTCACACACAGACACACAGGCAGACACAGACACACATGCAGGCAGACACAGACACACACACAGGCAGACAGTCATACACAGACACACATACAAGCAGACAGTCACACACACACACACAGGCAGTCAGTGATACACACACAGGCAGACAGTCACACACACACACACACACACAGAGACAGTCAGTCACACTCACACTAACAATCACAGTTACCGCTGTTCATTGTGGAGGCAGTGCTTCCCCTGCAGCAGTTATCTGGCACTTTTAGCTCCGCCCCCAAAGTCAGTTTTGCTCCACTCCCGTCGCACGGGAAGCTCCGCCCCCGCTGCACAGGAAACTCCACCCCAGCCCCTAATTTATTTATTTTTAAAAATCTCGGCCACCCATGTGTGAGCTGTGTCAGACACATGGCGCCCCCTGCTCCTTGGCGCCCTGTGCGGCTGCACAGCTCGCACACCCCTAAGGCCGGCCCTGGCTGCCACATATATTTTGCACAAGTGCTAGAAATCCAATCTTTTTACTTTTTTTTTTTTCTATTTATGTAGTTACACAATATACTACATGTTTGCATACTGTATGCAAGGTGATTTACAAAGCTAAAGACCTTTTAGGCATTAATCCACAAATCCAACTCACAAGCTAAAAACCCAGACTCTTCATTACTCCACTCCACGGAACTTTCAGGTACTGACTAAACCTTGGAAGAAACTCCACCTCATTTTTTCTACCTTTGTCACCATATTACTATTTTGTACTATTACAATGTTACCATTTATACCTGTTGTTTACCACTGTAAATGTCTTTGTTATTTGCACCAATATTTCATGTATATATAGTTAATATTTTGGGTGACAGAATTTGGTTGATAAACTTTTCAATTGTATACAAAAACCATTTGCTTTACCCACCCGCGCTCTCTGCTTCTTTTGCCCATCCTGACTGTAAATACCTTCATATAATGGTGTCTTCTCTCCATCCATGTTTCTTAGGTCTTGATTCACAAAACCAGCTCACAAGTAAAAACTCAGACTCTTCATTTTCTCCAAGCACTGACAGTTCCCATTACAGCTGTCCACCCAAATCTCAGGCAGCTGCAATAAGAAATGTCTTAGTTGATGTAAACTGTCTGACTAAGTGGCATGGCTCCATCTTAGGAATCCATCCAGATTTCTCTTAGCTTCCTTTCATGGACTTTAGAGCTTCAGGGCCAGTGATAGTGCGTATAGACTAGAGTTGTCACTGCTCTGCCTTCCTCTTTCTCTTTGTTTCTTGTTTCTCTCTTTCTGTGAGAGGCTGGGCGGGAAAAACGTGTTGTTTCATAAAGTAAATTCCTGCTTCTCCAGTTTTTGGGGTTCCTAGACTCAAGTCCCAAGTACCAAACACACCATTTACACTTTATATCCTCTAACTTGAAACCCTCTTGTCCATATCACTTTAACACCCCCTTTATCCTAACTATTAGCTCACTTAATGTTTTTTTTTTCTTGTATTTTTTTAAGGTGGTGGGAGGGTTCCGGTTGGCTTTTGAGTATTCTGAGATGTAAATCAATTACTGCTAATGAGGCAAAAAACAAACAAACAAAAAAAACATAAAATTTAATCAAGTAGTTCTGTATCTCCTGAGTTACTTACTTCTGTATCTCCCATTACAGTTCTAGATTGCATTTGTAGGTAGAGTCAAGCATAGAACGTAATAGTATAATTCAACGATGTCACATCATAAACTTGCAAACTCTCCCTTGAGACCTTCTTGGTGCAAGACTACCCATTGTGAGAATTTGTCCATCCCTGGTGAGTGTCTTTTTACATATTACTTTGATCTGTGTATGGAATGATACATGTAATGCCACAATGGTAAGTCGTATGGGAGGCCAAAAGAGTCTTAGTATTTATTCCATAATGCTTGTATCTCATTCATTCTGATCCAGCATGATATCCCTGTTGATTAACTTCTGTGACCTCAATTGTACTTTTACCTTCAGCCTTAGGACCTAGCATCAATTCTAAATCCAGGTCTTAGCTGTAGCAATCATAATCCATGGTATCAACTTTTCAAGAAAATGGTAGTCCTTCACCAGATACCTGCTATGCTACGATCGGCATCCTGGTCTACTTACCATGCATAACTTATCCCTACCATAACACCAACTGATATTTAAGTAACATAACATTCTCTTCTTTCTAAATCCATTTTACTCATCCGTAATCACTTGAGCAAAGGTAACATATTTTACACAGAAGCGCCCTTAAAAATGATTGATCGTAAAAAAAGGAGTACAGTAGGAGTATTGCTGCTTCGAATACTTTCTTTTCCATAGTTTCATAATTCATTTCTGAACATAAATAAAATACATAGCAATAAAAATGATTTGGCTGTTCTTATTAATATGCTAACATCCAAGCCATAAATGTTAACTGAAACAAACATTTGTTCAAGTTGATATTAAGGTATGTAACTATGGCAAATATATGAAATCCCTTTGGGCAGTTTGCTTGTTTTAAAGCTGTCAAAGCATACCCCAAGTAGGTATGCTGCCGGATTTCATTCCTTCTTTTGTGTAAGAGTGATGATATTATCCAAAGCATTGTTACTTTTCAAAAGCATGACATGTTTGATACACACAGCTTGGAACCTTTACATGGTACGTACATGTTCAAGCAGGTCTCTTATGGAGAGTGCAATCCAACCCTTTCCTTGATATTTGCAAACTTTGTTCTGGGCCAAATTGAAAGTTATCCCCAAAAGTATAAGCTAAAACACTTCTTAAAAAAAAAAAAAAGAGATCTCTTATTCTTTGGGTATCAAATTCCTCTGTCCATACAACTTGGTCCTCAACTCAGATTACTAGTAAATCCATATTGTAACCCATGAATGAATCAGAAGAACAAGACATGGAAATGTTGCAATTAATAGAGAATACAAGGATATGTCAGTTTTCTAGAAAAATGCTCAATTCTCTCTTTATTGGTTTTATAATACAAAAAAAACCAACCCATAATGAAATAAAATGCAATGGGATTGGGACCAATTTTGTAAAATTGTCAGAACAAGGTTTGTAAGCCAGGGAGAAAGAAAAAATAGTTCTTATTCGCACAAAAATATATACAAATAAATAAATATATGGGGTCTGTTCGTTAAATAGAGTGTTGTGGTGACTGAAGATCTGCCTTGCAAAATGTGTAAGTTGAAGAAATGTATACACTAATTTTTTTAAGGCATGGCGATTATGATCTACAATTTGTGAATCAGCAATGCTGTGAGCAATGGCTTTGCTTTCCAAATGCCCCCAGATTGCAAAAGACTATTTCTGATCATTCGGTCTTAGATCATTTGTACTTTAGTTAATGACCTTGAATGTATCTTTGTGAAGATATTTCCGATAAAACCTAAAGTGGAAATATCTC